CTCAAAATAAACAAAAATGGAGTTGACCCACAATTCATACAAAACTTTCATTTGGAGTTTTTTTTCTTTTTTTCCATGACTGAATTCTCACTGGAAAATCTAAATTAAAGAAAGAATGTTTTCCCATGGAATTTTTACAATTTGTGCGTAATAAAAAAATAGTAACAGAAAAGAGAGATGAATAAAAACATAAATACATTTATATCAGGACTATTATGCATTATTTCTATCAAAAAAGATATATCAAAAATCAGGCTCCAAAAAACTTTATTGAATTTGCTCTTCTCTTGCTTGCTTTGGCCTCACTTTTCATTACACAGTTGGTGACATTCATAAAATTTTGAAGAGAATACAAAAATAACTATATGTAATTTAATTTGAATCACTTTGGACAATAAATTTACATATTTATAATAGAAACAGGTGCTCAAAATAATTGAATTTTTCATTCTAACTTCATACATATAATATGATTGCTGTGACAATTGCACTTTACGATAATCTTTATTTGAAAAAAAAATGGGAAGCTAATTTAATTTTCGAATTTATTAACTTTGAATAAATTAAATGCTCTCATTCCAATAAATAACAGCGATATAAAGGTATACAAAATAGATCGTTTAATTTGAAGCACTTGTTATAACTTTTAAACAGAAAACTGCACAAGATGAGATTTGATAATTCCAGTTTGATTGCATTCGAACTCGTATTGAGGTTTGAAAATAGAGAACAATGCTTTTACTAAATCATCATCTGCATTTCCACAATAGATTCTGGTCTTTAGAACAAGGCATTCTCCTAATGCAGACATTAATCTAAAAGAAAAAAGAAAACTTTAAAGCAACTCATTTGATCTTTGTTTCTCAAATATTAAGCTTTTACACTCCGTTGTCACCTCTGAGTAGGCATCGAAAGTTAACATTCTAAAACTTTAACATTTTTATATCTTAATAATTAATATCCACATTATTTTATAAATTTTAAAAATTATCTATATTATAT